ACACAGCCAAACTTTGCGAGCGTTTTACTGCCGGTCGGAGGAAGACCAATGGTGACCATATTTCTATTCCCCAATCACCCTTTGGTCCTATTCAGAGATGGTGGTTTTATTTTCATACAAGAACAAGTCACTTGATCCTCATTACTGGTATATCTAGGGCCTCGTTTAGAATTTCAAAATCAACTGATCTGAAAGAACAGTTTTTCACAACATGTTTATAGGTGCACAAACACAATACAATATGATACCGTAGCATGTATTGTAGTTTTTGGTTTTACTTGAAGTAGTAAAGAGAAACTAAATTAATCATAGGTGAGGAGGTAAAATTCATCACATGCTGTTGAAATCCTATTTACATGTACATTGACAATTTTTTTTTATTATCATTTTATCAAGTGTATTAAGGTCATAATTATGTTTTTTAGACAGCATTGTTTAGCGACCACATCAGAAATTGTAAAACTTCAATGCGCTGGTAGTATACTGTCCCAATCCTAGGGTTTAATGGAATAGTGAAATTTGGTAACATAGACTCTCCTCATCTTGCAGTGATACCATTAGAGGGTCATTTTGGTGTAGTGGAATGTAGTCACTCTCGGTTGAAATGTAAACGTTAAATCTAATTCTTCATGTAATTTTAATTTCCTGTTTTTGCAATCAATCTATATATCCAGCTTTTCAGTCAACCTATATTGTGGAACAAACTTATTGTATTAATTGTTAATTTGTTCCTGTCCATAGCATGCATGACTCAGCAGTAATGCTCGAATCAAAACAGGGAAGTCCAGAAACGGAACAAATGTGAGGCGAAAGAAGAAATTTGAAAAAAAGGCAGGACAGTAGTTTTGAGTAAAAAAAAAAAGGCAGGATGAGCAACTTGGCAAAAAAAAAAATGAAGGATGACAATTTATGTAAAAAAGTCAGGATAAACTAATAAAAAAAAAGCCAGGACCGAATAGAGTGAAAAATAAAAAGGTAAGACAGAGATTGCAACTAAAAAAATGCAGGACAAAATATTTCATCCTAGCCCCACCCCATAAAAATCAAATGGTAGCTTCCTTATCAGAATAAAGGAAAAAGATTAACTCGCGCTCCATAATGAAAAATATCACTTGAATAAACTTTAAATATAAAATTGTAATAACGCTTTTAATTTCCTCCAGTAAAATTGAACTCACATTTTCATCAATATTACCGGAATTAATAATCTCTAATACAAATTATGTCCACGTTAATGGTTTCTTCATTGCCTTATGTTTCTCCCGATTTTCATTACTTTAGGCGGTCCTCCATGCTCAAGTATGTGTGATATGTCCTTTAGCATCTCCTATGAAGATCCTTTACGTCCCTTTGGTATCTTTTGCCTCTCTTTGTATTTCCGAACGCTTTCAACGGATTGTGCCCAAGTCTATATTTTGCGCACACGTTGTTGTCAATATAATGGAATTATATGCGACTGTCATAGAAGTGAGAGATTTAGCTAGCTATAAAACCAGGTTTAATCCACCATTTTCTACATAAGGAAATGCCTGTTCCAAGTCAGGAATATGACATTTGTTTGATGTGTTTGAGCTTTTGATTTTGCCATTTGAAAAAGGACCTTCCGTTTTGAATTTTTCTTGAAGTTCAATATTTGTGTTATTTTACCTTTCTTTATCTCTAAATCCGGGACGCCAGCTTGTTTGAGGAAGGAATATTGCACACGTCCTTTTGTCCGAATGGTTTGTGAAATAACCTTCGATTTCTGCCTCCAAACACTTAGTATGCATTACTGTTGACAAACTTACCAACACCCAATTGTTGTGAAGTGAATTTGATTTCAAAACTTTTCTCAAACGGATTCTGTAAAACGAGTCCCCGCTCATTTCAAATATTATACTCCGGTAATCGTCATAAATTTTAAATAAAGTAAGATGATGGAAATAGTTCTTGATGTTTTTGCAGTCATATGCCTCTGCTGACGTCCTCTTGAAATAGCTAAAATAAAAGAGAGGCGGAAGTTCCCAAATGGACGTTCAATCTTGCCTTAGGGAGCTACCATTTGATTTTTATGGGGGGGCTAGGATGAAATTTGAAAAAAATAGGCAGGACAGGAGTTTTGAGTAAAAAAAAAGGCAGGATGAGCAACTTGGTAAAAAAAAAAAGGCAGGATGACAATTTGTGTAAAAACATTCAGGATAAACTAGTAAAAAAAAAAGGCAGGACCGAATAGAGTAAAAAATAAAAAGGCAGGACAGAGATTACAACTAAAAAAAAAGCAGGACAAAATTTTTCATCCTAGCCCCCCCCCCCATAAAAATCAAATGGTAGCTCCCTTAACAACAGGAAAAATGAATCAGAAAATGAGCGATTTTCACTGTAAATTTACAGTTTGCTTGTATATAGTTCAAGATCTTGTGTGTGACATACATATTGAAAAAAAAATGGAAATACGCAGAAATTCCACTACGTTAACGTTCTTGGTGTATGTATGCTATTCCGACATGAAACGTATGAATTTGCCAGGTGGTCAAAAAGTACACATGCTGCATTTATTTAGAATAATCAAACCCACGTGAAATGTTTGAACACCGAATAATATGAAACGGTTTGAAAACCGTGTGTATCCTTTGACGTTTTGACCTCTTACCCCTGTTCATAATCAAGGGACCAGGCAACATCAGCGATACAGCAAAGTGTGCATGGGGACAGAAAGCAGTGTGGAGAATAGCTTTAGTCTACTCAGCACATAGACACAGGTGCTGAATTGATTAATGATTGTTAATTGCTTAACGTCCAGTGGCAAATATTTCATGCATGTTCAGGACAAGAACAAATTAACGATAAATACAATAGGTAGGTCTTGTAATTGAGGCCGTCCGGGATATGGTCGGGGAAATTTCGATTGCCACTGGAAAATGAGGGTATAATGGATAGGGCAAGAAATTCAGCTTTGCAACATGCCACCTACTAATCCCTCAAAGAGTTGTTGCAAGGGTTCTTAATGTACAGAGAACGTAGCAGTATCTCTACACAAGGCATCGGATTTAACGTCTCCATTCTGACTGGACGTGGCTGCTTACTTGCTTCATCCCGCACAGCCAAACGGACGCCACACTTCGTAAAGGGTTTGACTGCCGGTCGGAATAAGGTGACCATATTTATATTCCCCAGTAACCCATGCTTGAATAATACTGTTTTCTTCTTATGGATGCTGTGACATTGATATCGACATAGTCGTATTCCACAATATGTGTCTTTCACATATACTTAATGTAGACCATGTACTGAAAACAGCAAACCGGTTACTAGTATTTAATTTTGGAAATGTTATGCGTCAGAGACTAATAAATTGAAGATGTTAATGCAAAATTAAAAATCTGAAAACAAAATCGTATCATAAAGCCACATTTTAGCACTATTATTTGCAACATTCGTAGCTGAAAAGTTAAGATTTATTTTTTTCCAGTTCAACCAGGAGAGTCTGTAGTTCAGCATTTGTAAAGTCAGGATTTATGATCGCTAAACCCTCTCCCTAACCTGGGACAGTGGTGTTACAGTACAGCATAAGAACAGACTATGAAAACCAGTTGAAAATGGCTTAATTCGTCAGATCTATTTAAAGCAGAAAAACATCTAACAAAAAGATAAACCGGACGTGGCAGAGTATTTATACATCCCTAACAATAAAAAAGACACAAAGTACAGATCTGAGATTTGTAATGTATGAAACTGTTGACAGCTTCAATTTTTGTTCATATTTACGCGTATATTTTTTGAAGTAATAAAATAGTTTAACTTCACTGTAATGTATGAAACTGTTGACACTTCACATTAATCATGATAATCTCACTAACCAAAATATTTCATTATTTCAATCGATACGCTTAGTTGTCAATTACATTTCTAATAAAAAAACCTCTAGTTAATCAATGAAGAAAAAATTCCTTGCAACATGCCACATACAGACCCTCATGCTCTTTATCGGACGCCCCTTTATAGCCAGAGTTTACCTGTCGGAAAGGGGAGGAGAGTAATTTCAGATGAATATATTTGTATACCATAGTCAACTCTTGATGTTTTTTATTTTCGAATTAATTTTAGTGATAAAAAATGCTTTAGTCTTAGATAGATTATTTTATTAGTTGTTATTGGCTTTCAACTAGCGGTCAATAACTGCGAGAAATCTCAGATCTGTACTTTGTGTCTTTTTTGTTGTTAGGGATCTATAAATACTCTTCCACGTCCGGTTTATGTTTTTATTAGATTTTTTTCTGCTTTAAATAGATCTGACGAGTTAAGCCATTTTCAACTGGTTTTCATAGTCTGTTCTTACGCTGTGCTGTAACACCACTGTCCCAGGTTGGTGGGGGGGGGGGGGGGGGGGGGGGTGGGGGGTGTTTACCGCTCACAAATATGTTAAACCACGCCATATTTTATGTGCCTGTCCCAAGTCAGGAGCCTGTAGTTAGTGGTTGTCGTTAGTTCATGTCTGTCATACTTATTTTTCGTAAATTGTTTTGTTATAGATTAGGCCGTTAGTTTTCTCAATTGAATTATTTCATATTCTTCTTGTCGGGACCTTTTATAGCCGATTATACGGTATTGGTTTTTCATTGTTGAAGGCCGTACAGTTGCCTATAATTGCTTACTTCCACTTCATTGAAACTTGGGTGGATAGTTGTCTAATCGACAATCATACCAAATCTCCCTATTTTTATATTTTATTATACTTTCTCCGTTAATTATCTTCATTATTTTAAAAACCTCCAGGACAATCTATTGATGTATTACTGAACACCACTGTACCTTTGTCCTTAAAAAAACAGTGGATAAGGTTGATGTTTGACATCAGTCCAAACCTGTACAACAGTCGGATAAGATTGCATGTGTTAACAATAAAAACAAGTATTTTATTACATGTTATCAATTGTCACATTGTTTTTACTTGGCAAACATTCTCATTGACATCATGCAATTCATTTATTATAAATAATAAAGTATTATTTGGACCATGATCATAAAACCAGTCCGAAGTTGCTGTAACAATACAATAGCAATTAGTGATGAGTTTGAGGAGTTTAATCCTGATTGGCACATTTGTGATGTATTCCGAGGTGGAAGCAGGAAGTTCATGTTTGCGACTTGGTATGATTTATACTAGCTCAGAGTTTAAAATATAGAGTAACGTATCCTATTTTGTGTGTGATTGATCAAAATTATTTGCTTAATGTAGCAATGCTCAAGTGATTTTTTTAGTGATATTTCTAAGTAATTTGAAGTAACATTCCACTAGTTCAGAGTCTTACTGATATAAAACAGCAATAAATACAAGATAATCTGAGATAACATTTTTCTATCCATGTTTAAAGATTTAAAAAATTTCAGTCAAATTATCTAACCTTAAATATTCCCCACAAAAAGCGTCAACCATGAATATTTTCAAAAATAAATAATATTTGGCTTACTTTTTATTTCCAAAATTACTTAACTGGTTTAATAAAAATAAAAATATACCTTTAAATAAGATGTGTAGCATAGAAAAATACAATTTTGCAAAAAATATAAAATATCATAAATTTTGTAAATCAAATTATCTCCCTTTCGTCAAAATCATTTTTTTTCTAAATGAATGATTAATTGCAAGGCAAATCATCAAGAATTAAATAGAAATGAACATAGTTTTATTATGGAAAGAATACACTGGTATAAAACTTTAAAATTATAACACATTTACTGTCATTTTTGCAAAAAGACTTGGCTCTGGATACCTTTTTTTTCTGTATTAAGCTGTTTTTCGTTTTAAACCTCACTGCTCTTCTGTAAATCTCACTGACTGCTCTTCTTTACACCTCACAGCTCTTCTATAAATCTCGCTGACTGCTCTTCTATAAACCTCACTGCTCTTCTATAAATCTCGACTGCTCTTCTATAAACCTCACTGCTCTTCTAAACCTGCAAAAACATATATATTAATAAAACTTAATTTATTGGATTCAAGAATTTTTTATATCAATAATAATCATATTCAATGTTAACATGTTCTTTAATACACAAATTAAAATGACAGAGACAAAGCTGCAACTACAATAGCTTTAAAAGATGATTTATGAGTACAAAGTTAAAATATATTAAAATTTACATGCTACTATTTTTTAAACAACCGAAAGTATTGTTCTTCCTTTATATATTAAAATATTTATCCAAAAAATCTTGCGAAGAATGTCATTGTTATCTGTATATTTACATGTCTGCTTTTACTATCATATTACTGCAAGAAGATTCTGTGCATTCAACAGAATTAACAAAAAGCAACAAAAACAAACAAAAGCAGCAATAAAAAAAATTGTAACATAACAGTAATACAATGGAATATTTCTAGAGAGACCTTTACTATTAGAAGTACGAGTATATTAACAGACCATAATTTATCATAATTTATTTTAGAATTTATGGTGTCGCTAGATATAATCAAGTGTATTAATGATCTAGGATATATTTCTTGTACTTTCAATCTGTATATAGTTAAAATTATCAAGTTTTCTAATAAATTCTTTAATTTGCAAAAGAGGTCTTTTACTGTTTATAGAATGTTCAATATTTTAGCACATAAAAAAAAATTCTTACACCGATATCTCTATCATGCCACGACATTTTTTGTTAATGACCTAACCATTCTGTTTAAGAAATAAAGTTGAGAATGGAAATTGGGAATGCGTCAAAGAGACAACAACCCGAGGCCAACAATTGGTCTTCAACACAGCCAGAAAATCCCACACTCAGAGGCGGGCTTTAGCTGGACCTTAACAGATCAGTGAAAATGGATGTAGCAACTCTGAAACATAGATGAACTAACAATAAAAAATCATAAAAGTCTTACTGAGGCCAGAGGCTCCAGACTTGGAAACAAAGAACAACCAAAGAACAAACTAACATTTGAACAAAGTCAACATGAGTCTGATTAAACCTTGCGAAGGTGACATGGCCAAAATCTGGAGATCGCCAGCTGCATAATCTTCTTGCAGTTTAAAAACATAGACTGCTGAGTCACCTTCATACTTAACATTGTACCATTCAATGAACCCAGGAACAACGGACAATACTTTTCCTTTATATAAGATATTGTTTTCAAATTTATGCTCGATCCATTTTCCAACTAATAGTGGTTTATTGACAGTGGTTCTTTCATTAGTACATGTAGTAGTTTTTGATTCAGAAATTAAAGTGTTTAAATTTGATTCTAATTGGGCAACATTAAACTTCTTTTTTACCGCAGAAAATGCAAACAGGCATTTGTCACTGGGAATCTGTTTTAGAACGTTTTTTCGAAAATTAAGTTGTGCCTTTATAGCTGTTATTTTTTCTGTATTTGTAGAAATTTCCATTAAGTGTTGACTAACTTGTTCATGACTTTGCCATAGTCCAAAGTACATAATGTCATTTGTCATATTTTGTTTTTTCTGTAGCTGTTTGATCTTTTTGAGTCTAATCTCCTCTTCCTTCTTTCTTAATTTTATTAATCTTTCTGATTCTATTTGTTTTAATCTTTCTTTAAATTGATGTCGTATTTTTCTACCTTCTTTTCTACTGTCCTCAATCATCTGATTTCTTTCAGATGCAGGAAGGTTATTAAGCCATTCATCTGTTTTATTATGAGAAAAAAGAAGATAAGCTTCATTACAAAGTGTTGTTGCATTTGGTCTGTACTTCATAAGGAAATCAAGTTGTCCGAAGAAAAACTCTGGTAATTTGTTATGTTTTAGACAACTTCTGGTCTGTTCTTGTGTCAGCTGATTAGGTGTTGAAAACTTCCCACCTGGTAGATGGTCACCTGCTTGCCTCTTTAATAAAGTAATCATAACAGCAAACAGAGATTGCAGTATTTGTACAGTCAGTTCATCAGAATCATCTGGTTTAAGAAGTTCATTTAAAATTTCATCATTATCATTGATTTGATCTGGAAATGGCTTCAAATTTCCCGATAGAATTATAGAACTGTCTACTTTGCCCATCTCCAAAAAATCCAACAAAGCAGACAAAAGTTCATTAAGATAAAATACATGACTACTGTCCTCAATTTTCCTCCACAATGGCCCACATACAAGTTTGGATATTAAACCTAAGGCTCTTGAACCGGCAATATACAATGGTTCCTTGATATCTGCCAAAACAGATGATAACAGTTTATTTGTACAGCCATGAATGGATTCAAGAAATGTTTTTATATTGTTCCTATGATGATAGGTGGTGTGTCCAAGTTGGAAAAACACATTAAACCTGTTGTGTTTATATCTTATAAAGTTTACTTTGTCACCGATTGCTTTCGTGTAAGTTTTGAAATCCCCATGTACACCATTTCTCTCATCAACACCTTTAGCAAATGATTTGCTGCATGTTCGAATAAGCCTTATAGTTCCACATTCTGCATTTTTAACCTCTGAGTCTTCGCTGTCTGCCTCAAGTGTCTCTGCACCTAACGATTTATTGAAAAGTTTTTCAAATTTTCCTAATGCCACTGAGCATACATCCGCAAAATTAACCAACAGATGCAGAGAACAGAAAAAATTGTTCATTTTTGAGCACACATCCTTTTCATCAGCACTCAACTCATCCCAGTTCTGTACAAAATCTGGTAAAATATCAATCCGAAAACTTTCCAGTAATGTATGAAACTTTTTCTCTGTAGCTGCCCGATCGGACATTGTATTTCTTATATTAGATAGCAGTCTATAGCCGACATTGCTTTTCTTTTCATTATTTTCTTTTTCCTGGCACAAGTCAGTTATGTCTTGCAAAATAGTTTTTAATGTATCTAAAACCGTTTCTGCAGACTTAGATGACATTTCACGCAAGCCTAGTAAATAGCTGTTTTGGTTTTCGTCAGTTGCAGCAAATACTTCAAAACACCGTCCATATTTGGAGGTTTCATCTGAATACAATGTTAGGTTATTTTTTTTTGATAAAGATTCTGTCTGTTTTAAGGCCAACGAAAGTCTTTGGTCATTCATCCTATCAACTGTTTGTCTGCTAGGAAGCCTTTTTGGAACTTTTCCACACATCATGCACACTTCTTTAACTACATCTGAAACATGTCTAGCCGAGATGTTAAGGTCAAGCAGTTTCATAATACATTTAGTTAGCTCGGGCTTAAAAGTTTGTTTTTCTTCGTCCCAGGTGTCAATCACCATCTGATCATCATCATGCAAAAGTGCAGTCAAATAGTCATTTTCCTCTTTTAAATCATTGTTTTCACTAACCGTATCATCTAATGTATTCTTTGCTTCTCCCATTGTCTCTATACTATCGTTTAATACATCTAACATATTACTGTTATCATTTTTAAGTTCTATGCATTCTAATTCTTTATGTTTGAAATCTGTCTTTATATCTTTTATTTCATTACACAATTCAACATACTTTGTTTTCAATGACTTAAGTCTTTCAACAGATTCCCTTAAGCTGTTACATTCCTTAATGAGACTGTCTTTCACAACAGACAGCTTTGAACATTCATTCTTAAATTTTTTATTGTTTTCAGATTTATTCAAAGCACGATCGAGTTTTCTTTTTAATAAAATTCGCTCTTTTCTGACATTCAAATATTTTTCTTTCACTATTTCCACTTTATTTTTTTCTTTTTCAAGAAATTCATTTTCTTCCTTAAGTTCCTTAATTACTGATAGTTGTGATGTTTGTACAATTCTCTTGAATTTTGCACTCTGGGTATTTGACAAACTCTGAATCGGTATGTAAAATTGTTCATTATTGAATGTTTTTAGTCCCTTTCCTCCTTTTTTTTTTTTACATGCAAGAATTTTATACAATTTTGCTCGTAAAGTTGGTAAATTTATGAGGGTAAATTCGATTTCACAAATTTTCGACAATATTTCGGCTACTCTACATTCTGGTTGAATTGTTTTTTCACTTTTTTCAGATTTAGCATATATAAAAAGTTCAATAACTAAACCATTTTTAATCATAAATTGTGGTATATTTTGGACAAGTTGTTCTTCATTTCCAGGTTCTAATGTTTTAAAATTTATATTAAGGCTGTCAGCAAATGGTCCTAATGAAGACATATTTCTACAAGTACATGTATATATATTTAAATTAAAATTATTACTGTTTATTAATTTTCTTCTTGAAACTATCAATCTGACCACTGAGCACTTTCATTTCGGCTTTCATTTTGTCTTGCCATATTTGCTGTTTTTTTAAATCTTTGTTTTTTTCTTCCAAATCTTTGTTTTTTCCTTCCAACTCTTTGAGTTTTTCTTCCAACTCTTTGTTTTTTCTGTCTAAATCTTTATTTCTTACCCTTAGTTGCTTGTTTTCAGATCTCAATTCAATATTTTCTTTCCTCAGTTCTTCATTTTTCTGTATGTAACGTAAGGCAAATGGATCTTTTACCTGGATAAAGAAATAATAAATTTCCACTTGAAAACTAATAGTTGTTTGTTTGAAGGATTAGTAATGATTGTTTTGCATAATTTTCTATTTTGAGTAAAGGTGGCAGCCATGTTTGATAGCTGTTGTCGTCTTCAAACACAATACTGAAAGAAGATCAAATATGTATCATTTTTCCAAAGTTTTTGTTTTCCTCAGTTGGTTGACCGTTATGGAATACCTGTTTAACATACAACGACGGATATGTTCTAATTGTCGCAACAACATTCCTGTCCCTTTCCCCTGACTTTGACCTAGCAAATTAGACTTACAATGTATAACTGGGGTTGTACTTACATGATCAACAAGACGGGTGTCACATGTTGAGCAGGATCTGTTTACCCTTCTGGAGCACCTGAGATCGCACCCAGTTTTTGGTGGGGTTTGTGATATTTAGTCTTGTCTTGTGTTTTGTGTACTATTGTTTGTGTTTTGGTCTTATTTTTACCGATGCCAGGAGTTGTGAAACATCATTGAAAGTGAGAATCATAGCATGGCGTTGTCAGTTTACTTTTGACTTATGTTTGAATGACCCTCTGGTATCTTTTCCCTCTCTTTAAATGAATATAACCCTCAAACTTCTTAAAATAACATGAAGACATGTCATTTTTTACATAATTGTACTTGACTCTAGTCTTTTACGTGTTTGTATAAAAATTAATAACAGACTCTAAACATACTATTTTCACTTCTGGTTTTTCCCGTCTAACAATGATGGTCTTAAATCTTTTTTTCTCCGGTGTATTGAACACCAACTCTTGATCAGAACTACTTGGTTCACACTGAGAAAAAAAAATATATATATACATGAATCTCATAACAAAAGCAGATACATCAAAATATGCTATTAAATTAAAATCATAGTGCTAGCATAGCATTAGTATAGTAAAATACTCGATATCTGGGGATATCCTTACACGTACATGCAACCATGTATACCTTATTGTAGATTTGATTTTGTCTAGCTGATAAAAATCAATATACTGCTGCACTTGTTCAGTATGGTGGAAAAAACTGTCCGTAATATAACAGTTATAAAATACATGTAACACATTTATCCCTTGAAAAATAGTGCTGCAAGTGTGTCAATTAAATGAAAGCTACAATGTATGGTACAAATTGTAAACAAAATTGACTTATTTAAAAAAAATTACTTTGCAAACAGTATATATATATATATATCTTATAAGTACCTCCACTTGGTTTCTTTTCAATTCTTTTGACATTGATGATGACATCTAATGATTCCATAAATTCTGATAATGATAAACAAATTGTGTAAAATGTATTGAATATATTATGATAATGACACAATAAAAAAATGTGAATTCAAATATTTACTTATCTGAATCAATTTCTTATATACTTTATTGAAGAAGAAAGTTTAGGTTGAATTTATTTGTTATTTATTTATTGTTCTAAAGACAACAATTAAATTACAAGTTGTGAACTTGAATTTCTATACAGATCTCTCCATAGACGATCCAAGTAGTCTTTTATGTTTTAGTATACTCAAAATGGGAAATTTATCAGAGACGATATTGACTATTGTTGAAAAGATTTCTCTTCCGACACAGTCTTTTTCATTAAATATTATTTCTCTTCTGACAGTGACACAGTCTTTTTCATTAAATAATTTACATAGTCAAAACTTTAAATTTCATACTTTGACTTTGAGTCAATGATGATTTATTGATGGCCAGTTGACTTTATAAACAGTCTGAGTTGTCTTTTTTGTAGACTGTCCAATTTGTCTAGCATTCGTCTATTTTTTGTCTACCCCCTTTTTCATGTACCTTGCAACCCAGTCGACTATTGGACCTAGAGCACCTATCTGAAATCATTAGATGACTGAAAAACTATTTATCATCAATATTCATTACGATCTACTAATTTTCTGGTTACTGCAAAATTGCTGTTGTGAAAAGTTTGCTGTATTTTCTGTGAATCGGAAAACCGGAAGTGAAGAAATCATGAACAGATAACTGTAGTTTGCATTTTTACCTTAGTCATTGAGGAACACCATAGCAAAGATTATCTCTATTTTTAAGCTAAGTACGGGAAATGTATGTATGTGCAATAGAATATATCAACTCAATATGAAATATGCTTCAAAATGAACCGAAATATAAAGGGGGACTATAGTTAATAAACAATATCCTTCATTTTTATTGCTTCATCGTTAACATGCCGCCTTACCATAGAAATTGTATGGGAAAATACCTTTGGTATTTATAGATCATTACCTCATTCTTCAAACAAAGTCATCTGAGTGTTTGAAACAAACGTGAGGTTTGCGTACACAAGCGTCCTTTTGAAGCTGTAAACTGGGTACGTGTTTGGAATGTGGTAAATAATGAGCAGTGAGTTATTTCCCCTTTGCATTGAGCATTGCTACTTAATGTCGGAGGCGCAATATTTTATGCATATTCATGACGAAACGATAGTACACGGGATATTTACTTTATGGCTGAAATAAAATCTTCTAACAGTCTTATTATTAATATAATTTATTTGCTATATGCAAATTATCAAAAAATGGATCCAATTGGATTGCTGAATTGAATGATTTTCACATAGTTATGCAATTGCTTACGACAATCAACATATAAGGACTATCGAAACTACTAGCATGAACAACCATTTTACATAAATATGCACAATGTATTAGAATTACACAAGGACACATTGCACATGTTGCAAAACAATACAGAACAATACAGCATCAGTTTATTAAGAGCATGTATATACACAATAAAACTCAACAGGCAACTATTGCATGGCAACACGAATACTTACTAAATGAGTTTCGTCAAACCAAAATACAAGTTGTCAAGAACCCGCGGTTGTATAATATTTTGGTCTTCACAAATATGTATGTATATTTTATGACAGATAATTTTTAGATATTTAATATCTATTAATAGTATTTTGTTGAATATTTGCTTTTAGAAAACAAGATCTTTAACAACCTATTAGATATGGTTGTGGCCATAAAGTCTGGATCCAACAATCAAGGTAATGTTTTAATTTTTTTTTTAATAAACTAGTGCCTGTTAACCTACAATATAGTATCGAAAAACTTTCCCAATATAGTTTTCTTTAACATTATATAAAATTTATTATAATAAACATCGAATTAAGGAGTTTTTTTTTTCTTTGCATAACTTCGATTTTATATTTTGTGTTTAAATTTTATTTCAATCACGTGCATTGTTACCATTACAAGCATTGATATGTTTATAACGTTGCATTTGTCTACAAAAGAAAATATGCAAAATGTGAGAAAACATTCCTCCTTCCAACTGTATTAAGTTTGTGTATAATTACCATTACAGGTGGAAACAATAGACCCGCCTTTACAGCAACTCTTAATACTCACCCTCTGACGTTGAGCGGAAATAATGTCATTGTTAAGTTTGACAACGTAGTTTTGAATCGGGGTGATGGTTATGATCCGAAAACAGGAAAGTTCACTGCTCCAAAGTCTGGCCTCTATCAGTTTTCCTTCACAATAATGTCGAATAGCGGATCCGAATTGCATATGGCTGTGGTTAAAAATGGAAATTCGATAATGAAGCTGTATGGATCGAAAATCCATGGTGCTACGGAAACTGCGAATCCAGTCTTGGAGCTAAAGAAAGGCGACAGCGTGTATTTGACACATTTGGTCTCTACCTCGCAACAAATGGTTGGTGCTCACTATTCTCATATGTCTGGATATTACATAGGAGAATGAGATAGGTTGATAAAGTTCAAATATTCAAAATAAATGATTTTACTACTTTTGTTTATTTTTTTGTTAACTTTCAATATAGGAAATTGATAACTAACACATTTCCATTTTAATACATATTCATATTAAGTAGCTATTTCAAGATAGCCTAAATCCCATATTTTAAATCAAGATTTTTTTCTAGATACAAAAGTTTTAATTGTTAATTACATTTATTTAACATCTCCGTTTTTGACGTATAAAGTAGTTTAGCGTTTGAGATACAATGAATAGCGTTAGTTTAACAGAAACCATAAGCACGGAGGGTATCATCAGCACAGTGCTTCGGAACATAATTTTAAAATATCATACTTTTATCAAGTTTATTAATTTAGAAATTATTAATAAACGTACTGGAAACTTATGTTCAAACACCCTCAGGAAAAGTTGACCTTATGTAGATGTGCCATTTCTTATGTAATTTTTTATCATATTACTCCGCAGGTATGCAAGTCGTTTTATCTATGCTATCAAATATGTAGGTTAGGTTTGTGCGGTCCTGATGAAGCTTAATCCAGAAATGCGCTTCGGACAAATCAAATTTATAATAAAAAGTTGTCAAGATTTTGTGCGGTCTTGATGAAGCTTAATCCAGAAATGCGCTTCGGACAAATCAAATTTATAATCAAATGTTAAATAATATGAATTTAGAATAAAACAAATATGGATTGGTTTTTGTCTTTCTGTTGCTGATGTTTGAAATTTATTTGACCTTTTAAATGTGTTAGTATGAGTACTTCAAAAGTATTCAAAAGTATTCATATAGATATATTTTTTAAAATAACTAGTACTTTATAAGTATGATTATACAGATATTTTGTATGATTGCTTATGATAAAACTGTCCAACAAATGACAAACGACATGATGAAAACAACTACTGTTACACAGGTCACCATACGGCCAGCAATGTTACAATTGGTACACATGTACAATGGAAACGTTTGGTAAATATGAAAGAGACGATAACAAAACAAACCTTCCCCATGCATAACCAAAATTTGAATTGATTTGTTTCTTATTTTTCATGTCGGGCCTTTTATGTTCTCATTTTTGAAAGCCGTACGGTTGCCTATAATTGCTTACATCCACTTCATTTGAACTTTGGTGGAAAGTTGTCTCATTGGCAATCATACCACATCTATTTATTTTTATATAAAAGAAAAGACAAATCAAATAGAAGGTCTTTCTCGTCTTGTGAATAGCCTCTCGTAAATATAATATACACACCTTCAGGATCTTCCAGTATTTGGGTACTAGGTGAAGCTACAAAGTGCCCTATTTGGTTGAAAATTGCATCATGTGATACATGTAGCTCATCAATTAGACTTATTACCGGGTTTGTACTAACATGAGTAACACGACGGGTGCCAAATTGATGGAGTAGGATCTGCTTACCCTTCCGGAGCACCTGAAATCACCCCCAGTTTTTGGTGGGGTTCGTGTAGCTCAGTCTTTAGTTTTCTATGTTGTGTTTTGTGTACTGATATTTGTCTGTTGTTTTTTTTGTCTTTTTTATCCATGGCGTTGTAAGTTTATTTTTGACTTATGAGTTTGAATGTCCCTTTGGTACCTTTCGCCCCTCTTTTTCATACCATACTGAGTCAAAAGAAATATAAATGTAGGTACTTTTATTAATTGAAATGGAATTTCAAATACCGGGTGTATCCTTGTATGGTTGAAAATTGTATTTTGTGCTATATAATGCCCTACTGAATTCAAAAATATATGGTCGTAAGGTACTTTTTCAACCAAAAAAGGCTTTTCAAAATCGGAACTGGCTTTTTCTGGTTGATTATTTAAAGCTTGGGTAGCATGTATCCTCCTGAATCATAAAGTCTGAAGGAAACTGGTACTTGTTTTGGCCGCATCCGTGTGATTGGCGGGCAAAAGTATGACTGTTAATGTTTCATTTCTTTGCCAGATTCATTTTATTGATATTGCTCCATTGCTTCGTTCTTCAATTTTATAGTTATGGCGTGATCATCAGTTTGCAACAAAAAAAAAAACTCCGCTCAAATCGGTGCTAGGGGCCGTCCTTAATCTTAATCGGCTGTGAGATTAAAGTTTTTGCTTTGTGTTGAAGGCCTCACTTTGAGATGATGAACAACAGTTAAAGCGTTGACCCCTGACTTTTGTCTTTTTTGCTGTGCATGTACCGATTTCGTGTCATGGATGGACAACCTATATCATTTCTTTTCTATTTTTTTTTTAATGTTTAATCTTTTTTAAGAACACACGTCAATGAAATAAACTACAAAGACACAATGTCCATGCAACTAACAGTTTTTGAATTATGCAAGTTTTCGACAGTCCTGGAACCTTAAATAGGGATTATTCCTGCCGTATTTTCCCCCATCAAAACATTATAATCAAGTAGAGGCTTGATGTCCGGAACATTTTTTCACTAGTTACGTATATATCATTTATTAGAAGAATGTACATACAAATTAGAGCGACCATGTTGACCCCGAGGTGTGACCTAATGAAGGGCTAATGTCAAAAAGTGAAGACCTGAGGTCCGTCTGAATTTATGTCCATTTACGATGTTTCTGATATTCGAAGTTATACTATATTTCACATTTTGTATTTTTTAATTTTTTATAGGCCCTCATGTTTTCATTCAATGTTTTTGCCAAGCATACCTCCAGCTTTCAAAAATATTAAGCTTATTAACCTATACACAGTTTCGTCATGGTTCTACGTGTTTGCATATGACAATATCTGTTTTATAAATCGTGAAGATGTTTCAAGGGAGGAGCCAAAAAAGTACTACAACTTCCACTGAGTGTCGTCATACCGTACGAAAATATCCATTGAACGGGCAAATAACAACATAGAAAGCTTTATATTCCCCCTAAAAGTGCTTCGTTTGGAAAAAAAAGACGAAGATCTTTAAATTTAATTCCTGTCTTGAACAAAGCTCACTTGCAAAATAAATCTGAATTTTACAAATTCAACATTGTTTATCATATATTCATATTTTTTTCCTTATATTTACAATGTACGGAAATAAGAATAAACTCATCATAGATGCCAGGATTGAAATTTTGTATTTGCGCCAGACGTGCGTTTCGTCTACAAAAGACTCATCAGTGACGCTCGAATAAAAAAAAGTTGTTTTCTCTAAAAAAAAGAAAAGCAACACGTGAACCTAAGACCGCTGACTGGTCACCAAAAGATTGTTGCTGATTTTTTGTTTGCTTTTGAATTGAAATAATTTACTGTGAATAGAAGAAGATAATGATGAAGTTAAAGTACCTTTCTTAAAAATATGTAATAGTGTGTACATTCCTGCACAAGTCAGTTGAAAGCAATGTTGGATAGTTGTGAATTGAAAAGTGTATACTGTAAACCAACTAATTTTCGCGAGCAATTTAATTTCGCGACTTTCGCGAGTAGAAAAATAACGCGTATATAAATCGTCGCGAAAATTTAAAACTAGGATCTTTCCTTATCTAGCTACAACAAGTAAATCTAAAAATCGCGAAATTAAATCGCCGCGAAGTGGGCTAGAAAGAGATAAACGTGAATTAAAGTATCCGCGAAAATAAGTTGGTTTACAGTATACCGCTACTATTTGAATATACATTTTAAAGCTCGACTATTTCATTTATTACTTGAGATTGTTCATCATTTTTTCCATAATCCTATTGCAAATCCCAGTTTCTGTAAACTGGATGTATAATGCGAATTGCACAAACCAATCGCAATACAAATTTCAGCACTCAGTTTGCTTTATAATCTTGATGCATTTATTTTATCTATCATATCTTTATATTTTGTTTCCTGCTTGGATGCCTTCATATTCTCAACTCGTTATTGAAGTTGTCTGTACTCATGGTAGATGTTGTATAGATAAATTTAAAGTCCATTTTCCATGTGAAGTGAAACCCTGAGGCATGCAACTTCGTATATTTTTCTTGAGAGTAACACACTAGCTTCATTTGGACCTCTTATATAGAGACTTATTTTGGTCACATAAGATATCTCAAATTTTTAGGACTTCCTAACTTTACTTAAATCAATCCAAATATTCTTCAGGAAAACTTGGTTTTGAAGAATATCTTATTTTCAGAGGTTTTATGAAAAACTGAACATACTCTCAAAAGAACCAATTTATATAAAAAGACATGTAGATATAAAAAGATACCAGGATTTATTTAACATATTGTACGCCAGACGTGAGTTAAGTCTACAAAGAATCATCCGTGACGCTCAATTAAAAATATTTAAAAAGGACAAACAAAGTGCGAAATTAAGTAATCTGTTCCTTGGGTAGAAAATCCTTAGCATTGAAAATGTTATTTTAATTTTACTTTATTTTTCCTTTATCGGGATATAAGGTATTACTATACTGTGTGTACCATGAAACACAAAAAAAAAATGTTGTTGTTTTTATGTTTATTTGTATGATTGTTTGGATTTTTCAAGTGAGTTGTGTTAAGTGTCTGTGATGTATGTTTACACAGTTTTTGCTGCTGGATCGCAATTAATTTCACGCTTACCATTTATGTATGTTTGGATGGCTTAGCAAATTTTGTCAATACAACGGAGCCAAAACTGAGGTTTAGCTAGCCAGGTTAAACACGCGATTTTCTTCTGAAAATGCCTTTACCAAGTTAGGAATATGACAGTTGTTTTTCATTTTAGTTGTTTGTTGATATAGTTGAGCGTTTGAGTTTGTTAGAGTTCGGTATTTTTTTTGATACTTTTTTTTTATCAATACAATGGGAATAGAGTTGTTGTTTATAAGATATTTCATTTTTTTAAACTATATTTGCATTTTGTATTCTATTTGATAGAAAAAAAAATTCTAAACGTTTACTATAATTATCTATATAAATATAAATAATGCACGTATTTTATACTGTTAGTTTCAGTGCAAAAACCTTTCCAAAGTTAAACGACCTTTTATAAATACTACCTAGGAATTTGTCAGATTTAAGGACATAATAGAGTGGTTATCAATGATTTGGTAAAATCACTTACAGGCATCACTCTCTGCAA